TTGGTTCACCGGAGCATAAGTGGAAACGTTCAACAAAGTCATCGTTAATTGAGGCTACATTATCCAGAAAAACGAACAGTTCGTAATCAAGTATTTAATTAGCCTTAATTGTTGTAGCTTCAAAAAAAATGGTTAAAAAATGAACAGTTTGTAATCAAGCCTTTAATTGGCTCTAATTGTTGTTGCTTAAAAAACGCAATTTTTAAAGGTCCAGAAAAACGAACAGTTCGTAATCAAGTCTTTAATTTGCTCTAATTGTTCTAGCTTCAAAAATACGCGATTTTTATTTCACTTATATCAGTCGCAGCAATATAAAATTTTCAAGAAAATGCAATGTTTTCCTGCCTGAATATTGTAGAGTATAGTAGCAATTCGCCAAATACGAAGATCAAAAATGAAGGAAACAAAGTAGACGCTGAAATTTGTAATTTTTTTACTTTAACCAACACAAGAGGAGTGCAAGAAACAAAATGGCAGTGTCATGTCAACCTTCAACAAGACTTCACTGGAGTGTTCGCCTAGAATTACACGTTAACCTACTACTGGCATACGAAAGCAATAATCATAATCTTGTGCTACCAAGCCATGCAAAGCTGAACTGGATATTATTCGCGCAGGAGTAAGCAAAATTTTTTATTTATATCAGTGCGTAAAAATTTTTGTTGGCCTTAGATTTTAGCCAAGTTTTACGCAAACGATGGTTAGTGAAAATAAATCCTTAAGTTCATCAGAAAAACGACTTAAAAATTATTTCTCAAACAAATTTTTCAGGCCATAAGAAAGAATGTTGAAAAATAATCACAAGACAGCTATTAATTTCCGATTTAAGATCAGAGGAAAACTTAATAAGTAAAATATAAATCTTTAACACAACTTAGAACTATCTGCTTAACTACATGGTTATTCTATACAAATTACCTACGTTACCAGTTCACGGCAATTGCATAGAAAAAGTCTAACTGAACATTGCCTGTAATAAAAAGACATGGACGCTTTATAGAAACGTCCTGCCAGATGAAGCGGTAGTTCATAGTGCTCGATAGTTACGAGTACTTGTTAATTCCAACTAGAAGGTAGTTACAGGTACTAAATAAAAACGAGAACTTATGAGATAGTCTTCAAATTATAAGAGTAATAACGAATAACATACTGAACTGGAGCTAATCAATGTGACCGCGAAAATTGACATCTGACACAAAATAGAAGATAATTTGAATGAGACTAGAAACTGATCGGTGCGAAATCTATGGTTTGATGTATAAAAATCTATTACACTTTTTCGATCAAAAGCACAATAACTTTGAATTGACTATTGACATACATGTGCGATCATCACCCAAGGAGAGGATTTAAAATTAATTATATTTCCAGTATGATTACTCAGCTTCTGTGGGATTACTCATTTTCCGTGGGATTACTCATTTTAGTGGATTTAAATCATTTCCATTTCTAGCATTTAATTATTATTAGCGTAAAAACAGAAACGGCGGCGCCGACGGAACTCAGGATTTAAATTCGTTGTAGACAAAGAACAACACCACTAATTTACTATAATTTCAATTAAGCTAATAATGTCTCAACCAATCTACTACATTATAAGCTTCTTCAACAACACGATTATTAACACGGGCTTTCATTGACATGAGAAATTCATCGATTCAAAAATGAAAATTTTGACAAATAATTAATCGAGGTAGTTCCATCCAATTATTTGGGTCAGAAACACAATCGTGACTTTAAATAAAATGTAAAAAATACGAAAAGCGCCTGGATGCGGAGCGATAAGAAATTACATGCGTAAATGTTTGGTTGCTATATTAGTGGTATGTTTCAGGTTTCGAATGATGAAAAAAATGGTCAAGCGTAGAAGCAAACTTAGTTGTTATGAGAGCTTACAGAAGCGTATAGTTCACACGAAATAAATCAATTCCTAAGAACATAAATTTCTCAGAAATTCCGAAGGTCTTCATTATTTCAAACCATCTTGGCATGAAATCATCTGCAACATACATGTTGAATGCTACATGAAATATTCCTCGCACATATTAATAAGTTCAGCATCAGTACAGCGTAGATGTTGTTCTTATGTTGTTTACATTACATCAATTTACAGTTCGTTGCAAAGAAGTTCAAAGTAAACACCAAACTACTTATCTGCCCCTATTATTTTTTTTATACATATACAGTGTTTACTATAGGTACTCAAAGTTCTCGAAACTACAGTTGCTACCATACATTAATTTACGATTTCAGAGGAAGAGAACATCGCTGACAGTTGAGCTAGAATATTTCTAAAAAGATTTTCTCGATGAAGGTAATTCTAAGCAACGATCCTGCTAACGACGAGTTACAGGTTCGGCAACAACTGAACCGGACACTGCAGTCAGGTGCTTGTACACGGGAAAGTTCTAACCGATAGTAATAGGGGCAAATTCTACGCACTTCGAATATTAGGCTAATTTCTTTTTTTGAAGGAAAGTAGCAAGGAGCAGGCGCTTGCAGTCAAAATAGTTTGAGCTTTGCACCAGCAAGCGGCCTTTGATAGGCTGGAACTGCCGCTCTGTGGGCATCTGTGTATCTCCGTGCGTTAACGGAAGTCAATGAAGCTCGAAATTATCTCTCTGTACTATCCAGTCTTTCACTTATACGTTTATCGAGAATGATTATAATTATCATATGCTCAGCTAGAGTTGCAACAATTTCACCAACCACTTCATCAAAAGCCTCTCCAAACTCGCCTTTAATGTCACGTTCGATTTTCTTCTACGTCTTCAATTCTAATGAAAACTGTAGAAGCAAAAATACTACTTACTGGTGCTTGTAGAGGCAAAAATATTGTTTAGCTAATACGTTCCTCGTCAACTCGAATGACACCGGCAAAACTATAAAGAGAAAGTATTCATCGCTGGAACTATCGTCTAAAACTTTCCCGTGTATATGCACCTCAACCACGAAGCCAGGACAGCCGTTTGCTTATGCTCTAATCACAACCATCTTGACAGCGTTGCCGGTGAAGGTGTATGCCCTCACGAATGGTATTCTTACCGGCATCAAAATCTGATCTAATTAAGATTTTTCTACGAGAAAATTTACAGATCAGGTATCAACAGCATTTCATGATTCAGGAATATGAAACCTTAGGATGAACAAACTTTTCTTGCTAAATTACAAGAATTCATTTATGTAGCATGAATCGCACAATTGAAAAATTCCAAAAAATGAATAAAAAAGGTTGTCTCTAATGAGAAATCTAAGCGTTTATCCTCAAAATTATCATGATAATCAAGCTCGAGATATTTTGAACACCATCAAATAATGATAACAAAGATAAGCAATACAGCAGATAACAAAGCCACCTCATTCAAATAGTTTTTAGTTTCAGTTCACACACCCGAAAAATTTTAGTAGTTTAAAATTACAAGTTGAGGTTCTGTGAATAATGATTAATATTCTATAGGCGTGTATTGCACTTACAAATGTACTATCAAATGCATAGGTATGTACGCAACCACATACAAAAATTATGAAAAATGGTACACAGACACACACTCTAATTCACAATTAAACGGAAATAATACGAAGCATAAATATATTACAGTATAAACTTCTAAATTACGGGCTTTGATCCACAATGGGGAACAAATCTAATATATCAGCTCAACGTTACGCTTTTTAATAAGTAAGACGAAGCAGAAATTCAAATTGTAACAGGAAATTCTGAATATAAATGGTAAATAAAATCCATTACACAATTCAAACGATTAACTCTAGCCAAAATACCAACAGAGAAAATCAAATTTTCATGAACTTCATCCAAAAATTATTCCACTGTACAGAGCGCTACAGGGGCAGGAGGCACTCGAGCATTCTGCCTGAGCCGGGATCACGGGCTTGTAAGTATAATAAACAATATTAAATTTATTAGCGCAACAATACTCAACGGATTAAAATTAGAAGACTAAATAACTCAAGGGAATATCATGTCCAAAGAGCGCATTCAGAAAACTATATGAGCCATACTGTCAAAACAAGGACACACTCCACGTAGCACTGATTCGCCCTTTTGCCCAAACTAAAAGGGTCAGCAATACCCAAAAATTGCACTGCTATTTCGACGATATCTCACTCATTTTTCACACAGTTTCTGAAGGAGCGACTTAAAGTTAGCGCAGGAATATACGGAAGGGTTCCTTTTTTCGTGCAGGCGCAATGACCGAAATCCGTTTCTTAAATGTACTCGTTGCGGAAAAGTAGATCTATAAGTAATTTTTAGCAAAAAATCCTTTCTCAAGGTGTCTCTCCAAAAATCAATTCCAACGGTTAAATTTCTACCACTAGATACAACACTATAACATCACGCGTGCTTTGCTTGAGCTTCAGCGTGCAAGCGTTATTGCTTTTAGAGACGAGGGATGTGCCAAAGCACGCTCCCAGTGTCATCTTCCAAATCAGTTCTAGCTTTGTCATCGATATAACAAGGCCTTTGACCTCAATTATTAATCTCACGCTTTATCGTTCAGTTGGGATATCCTTTTTAGTATCCTTCCAATCAGGAAATAGATAAGCCAGCAAAACAAAAGAAAATTAGTAAATTCATTTGGGATAATAGCAGTTTTAACTAATTTTTAACCGTGAATAAAAAAATTTATTCCAAAACCTATTTTAGTCAGAGATGTAAATATTAACAGTAGTTTTCATCAGGTAAATAACAATAGTTACCATTCCTGAGGTCGTTACAAATAAAATGGTAGCTCTATTGTGCTACAACTCACACGGAACTAATCTCCAACAGTTATTAACTGATTTCATGCAACTGGTACAAATTTGTGCTACATGCCTGGAAAATACCTTCTACTTATGAGAGCAAGGACGGTGGGTTATCTGTGAAGAACAATCATACAGATATAATGCAAGAGCATGAGAAATGATCACTGCATGCCTCTAAAACAAAAAAGGACGAATATTTTCAAAACGAAATGAGGTATTCAAACCATCCGCTTTCAAATGAAGTTAGCAAGCAATTAATGTAGTAAATACTCAACATAAAGTGATTTGCAACTTTCATTTCCTGAATTTCAACTCCTCTAGTACATGTATCATAAGAGAGAAAAACAGAACCTCAATGTCACGAGCTCATCAATTTATAATGAATGAAAAAAACCCCGAGTGTTGTCAGCGAAATAAGACCGCGCCTCGCACTAAATGTTCAGACTCAAGGAGATGAATGTTGTTTTCCCTCTATCTTTCAAAGTTTTGACGTTCCCTGTCTTGCCTTCTGTTGAGATTCTGTTGGATTTTGTAAGCCTCTCTTCGTTTTTTTGTAATTATACAATAATCACAAGTACAGTTTCGGAACTCGCAAACATCTTTGTGTCCCCTCAAGTCGACAGACTTGTTGTGATTCAGACACAGACTGCAACGCGGCTTCTTTTTCCTGGCAGTAGCGGAAAATGTCGAATCTTTGATATGTGGCATGTACTGAGCAGCATTCAGGGACTTTTCTCCTGGACTGGCCACGTTGGGGGAGACATCGTCTCTAGAATTCTCGGGACTTATTGACGTGTCTTTGGTGACCGCCATGCGGGCATGGCAATAGTGTCGATCACAAGAATCTAATTCATTGAAGACTTCCGATAACTCGGCAACGTTTGTGGAGTGAACTTTAAAGTTGGTTTCTGCGTCAGAGGCAGGCGTGCCTTGAGGTATAGGACCTGATGTTATGTCCTCCAAAGGCTTACCGGCAATGAAGTAGCAAAACTTATTCTTCTTGGGTTTCTTTGTCCCATTTGACTCTCCTGGCTTTTGGGACAACATTTTAGATGACATGGAGTTCTTCAGACTATCAGAATAGTTGAGCGAAGCTTGAGTAGTTGCAACAGGTGTTTTGGAGATTCGACCATCATCTGCTGACATATGATGAATCCGTTGAGGTGCTTGGTATGAGGTTGCACTCGACTCGGTATACTCAGGGGTTCGTGTATCGGCTGCAGAGTAGGTGGCATGATGTCGTCTCTGATCGTCTACATACTCGTTATGAGAAGAGTGTGTTGAGAGACTGGGAGGGGACAGTGGGCCACTGCTCGGTCTTTGATGAGAATAATCTTGCTGATGAACTTGTTCTCCATGGCCGTCATTTGTTAGGTCGAGCTCTATGTAACATGGTCCTAGCATAGGAGACCTTGCCGGAACCGAAGAAAATCCACTTTTGATTTTGCTTTGACCTGAATTATGATCAAAACTTGAGATATGTGGCATGATCTTACGTCCTAATTCATCTCGTGCGGCGTCCTGAATGGGCAATTGATATTCGCTTGAAGTGAAACCAGTAACGTTGTGACGCTCTAAAGTTATGTACGAGGAACTACTTGCGTCGTTTATGAAACATGAAGGATTACGGTCTTCTTGGCATCGCCGACCGATTTCAATACTCACCGAGTTGTAGGCATCTTGATATCTATAAAATTCCGTGTCATGTCGATCAAGAAGAGAGTTTCCTCCATATCCACAAGGATTCGGGCTCAATGGATAATTAGTCAGATTAACAGCGCTATCTTGAATAGGCTGAACGTGATGCAGAATTCGATGGCTCGAATACTTAGTTGTACAGTCCTTAGGTAAATCCTCCAAATTCGGTATGTACTCAGGGATATTCCGACTACCCTGCAACGGTGTTCGAAGCTCGCCCCTTCCACTATCAGGACCATAATCAAGTCTGGTGCTGCAGTGTTGAATGCTTCCCTCTGACAAAACAGAGGGGACACTTGTACGTGGGATGGAGTATGGATGAGTTTTTTCACTAGTAGGGGGAGTTAGAGGAGGTGAATTACAACTTGGTAAAAGAGCGGGTGAGTTAGGTGACGGTGTCATAGTTGGGCACGTTTGTGATGGGGCATCGTCGTAGGAGTTCGCCAGCACGTGCTTACGCTTCTTAAGGGGTACGAGACATGACCCACTCAGACAACCTGCGGAAGGTAGAGGCATGACCATTAATTATGGACGATGTAAATTTTCACACTCACACTTAAAATAGAAAAAGTTACTAATTAATAAGCAGGAGAAATGAAAAAGATACTTCTTCAAACGTAACTACGTACAGTGTAATAAATGAGCCTGCTTATGGCATTAGGAAACAATGGTTGTAGTTCATGACGATCGTATTATTTTCAATATTATTTACCGTGCAGCACGATGATTACATACATAAACAATTTTGAAAGATTCCGACTACGGTTCCCAAATATATTAAATAATTTGTATAGTAGTGTTGATTACGATCAGAGAAAAAATTAACAAAATATTCAGCATACATATGAAGTACTCACTATTAGATGACAAGAAGCCTTTGACATCTCTCCTGCGCAAGAAAAATGAGAACCGTTAAATTAAGGGCCATTATTTACAATTCGCGCGGCAATGAGTACTCATTTGATGCGTTTTAACTTTTGCATATTATAGCAGGATTTGATAAGAAGTGGACCAGTTGTCTTTCTCCGAGTGTGCATTCAGAATGGACAAATCCTGTCTTGTAGTACAATGGGAAAAATAAAATATTTTGAAAACAGTGTTAACTAAAAAAAACGTAAAAGGAGTACAAAATTGAAGTAACATTAAAGAATAAGCTTTCGTCAGGATTGACTACTGCTGATCACCATCTTAACCTCATAAATTTAAATGCATGCCACTGCAAGCAAGTCTACTCTCTTTACGCGACTCCTTTTTCATGTGCAGTTAACGCAGGGAGAAATACTGCTCGCCAGAAATCTTGTATTTTCGCTCACTTTCATGCTTTGAAAACCCAAGCTTTGTATTTCTGGTTAAGATTCTATTTTACCCAGGAAATAAATGGTCATAAAATAAGCCATTTATCTGTCCGGTTCAGAGCGATCACCGGCACCATTATGGAGGGCACGTTAATTTTGCAGGCCATTTGCTTGACATGCGACGCTTCTTGAGATTAATTGAAGGCTGAGTAACTGACTGGGAATGTGCAGATCACATTAAAGGATTCTTTTGGCTACAGAAAGCATCAAGTTATTGTAGACTTGCATCGCAACTTTCTTTACAATGTGTCTTCGTGATGTAACATTTCGCTCAATTTCGTTGGCAAACCAGCGGATGGAATTGCATCAATAAATGTTCTATCAAAGTGTCTTCCTTTGAACCTATGAATGCGAATTCGGAAAAAAATTAATATGAACAAATTCAAAGTCCAACTTAGTTGCTCATATTTGTGAGAAGGTCCCAAGATAAAAATATAAAATTGAAAAACTTTCTCAAAAGTTGAAAAACAATCTTGATATGAGCGAGATCTTGCATCACTCGAGCCACGTATGCCCAAAGCAGCCGTAGGCTTTACGTATCACTATCAGCTTACAAAAGATACTCATACAAAACACTTTACATATTCCTCAACAATTGTCTGAAAAGTTATATTTGAATTATTAAGCATAACGCAAAAACAATGAGTTTGTTATGTGTAAAGTGAACCTCAAACTAGCCCATTTCTTTTGACGATTTCTGAACATTTTAACGAATAGTGGAACAAATTTGTTTTTAAAATATATTCTATAGGACTGCATTTTGTTTGATAATAATATACGTTAAAAATTACTTTTTAAAGACAACACTTAAAAAGAATCCAGTATCTCCAATCTTACAAATGTATAATGAATTTCTCATCTAATTTTCAAAAATTAAAAAAATTAACTTTTCAATTTTTTTAATATATATATAATTTTTTTAATATATACATTTTTTCAAAAATATTTATTCTGTTAATTGATTCATGCATTGCCTCTGACTTCACACAAGTGTGCAAAATTTCAGATCAATTAGACAGGTAAAAGTGTGTCAAATATCAGTTATAAGATTTGGAGCTGACAAAATTATTTTTTCAATTTTTTTAATTTTGAATTTTTTTTTAATTTTTAAAATAATTTATTTTGACATTTGATTCATGCATTGTCTCCAACTTTACACAAGTGTTCAAAATTTCAGATCGATAGGATAAGTAGAAATGTATTAAATTTCGATTACAAGATTTGTAGCAGACAGACAGACAGACAAACAAACAAACAGACAAGAAGTGAAGTTAAAGAGAAGTGTTGTATAAAATGGATTGCGTGTTTGTATGAAAAAAAAATAAATTAAATTTACGCAGTCCTCTGGAAAGAATACCAATCCGGAAAATGAAAAATTATGATAAATAAAGGTTATTCAGGTTTTATAATATATTATATGTATAATAAAGTTTTTTTTGAGAATGTTTAATTGCCATCCAGTGGAGAAATTTTAAAGTGTGATAAACAATGAAAGTCGTAAGTAGGATAGCGTGGCCAGCAGCTAATTCATCTGCTAAATAAATTTTAAGCCTAAAATTATGGCATGATGAGTTACAGGTATTAAAATTTCAATCGATCAAAAAGTTGAAAACATATTTTAACCCCAGAAGTGGGTTAAAAATTATCAAAAATCATCAAAAAATGGTAATGATTATTATTAATTCCATTGGAAGAATTTGCCGTTAACTATCTTGCGGCAGTAAGGCGGATGTATCAATAAACGAAGTCCGAGTGGTCGATTTTAGTGATCGAGACGCGAGGGTGGTTGAGGAGGCAATTAAGTGGGGAAGCTAGCAACATTTTGACGCGACTTGTCCGCAACGTAAGTCGTTGCAGAGACGACTTGTCGGTAACGCAAGTCGTCGTTACAGAGACGACCTGTCTGCAACGAAAGTCGTTACGGAGACGACAATGCAGAGACTGACCAGCACTCACGCTGTTCTACGGTAACGCAACAGGCTTTGTGGAATTTCATGCAGCCTGATATATAGGGTTCCTTGTTATTGTTATGATCTTCAGAATTGGTGTTGCAAGTTATGGTATCAGAAAGCCCCAATAATAAATGTTGTATGGTCGTCTTTAGATTACTAATAGAGAAGTCTTACTGAGTATTCCATTACCGCAGGAAATAATATATCGACCTTCCCAGTCTGATGAGGGATAGTTCTAAAACTATTATGATATACCGAAAAATTTCTTGCATTCTGTTAACATTGAGAAGAGTTTCGAGCAGTCATTACCAAGGGGAAAATTTCCCAGTTATTTCGAAACTCTTTCGAAAAAGTTTCGAGTATTTCCCACATGATGGAATTGCGAGCATTTCATTGGTTTTCCCGTGACAGTTTTAATAACGAAAAAGGTTATGTGCGTGAAATATAAAGGAAAAATTTAAGAATCGATATTATTTTATCGACCAGCATTCAAGATTGCAATGTTAAGCACTGCATTCGAGTTAACTTCCAACATTTTATTACCTCATTTCGGTATATAATATAAGCTGTAACATGAAAAAATTACAGAAAATTCTTGCAAGCACATGTCATGTGACTAATTTACTTCAATCATCATAAATTTTGCCTAACAATCATGCATATACTTATCAAGTCTCAAACAAATTGGGTAAAGTTTTATTGCAAATAAATAGATTGAAAGTTTGGCCTTCAACAATCATACTTCACTTTTTAGGAAGAAAAACTTGAATTATTTCCATGGTCTCCTTCACAGTTATGAAGTGAGAGCTAAAATAGACTTCAACTGTGGACATAACCTTGGGTCGCGTGTGCCTTGCATTATTTTGACGCGTCCACAAACTGGTTTTTCGAGTTTTTATAACGAGCCTGGAGCACAAGCATCCATACCATAAAAGGTAATCAGGGTACATGATTCAATCAGTCAGTGGTCGCTGCAAAGCAGAGATTTAAATTTTTCCACAGGAACTTGCGCCATTAAACATACGGGTGGAAAATATTATACGGAGAAATGTGGTATTGGAAATAGAAGGAGATGTAGAATAAAACGTATGAAATACGTGGAGATAATAACCTCGCGAAAAAATTTGCAGGTTTGATCTTCTGTTGTGAGAAGAATAAACAAATTTTTTGGTTGATCTCTGGAATATTGCATGTTCAAGAAGGTTCCATAATATTGCCTCTCGTTATTACGAGTCAAATATAATTGATCAAGAACTTCAAATATAAGTTCTCCATCAAGAAGATCGTAGGAACAAAAAATTTCCAAATTACTCGGAAAAGAATACAACATTTTATCCAAAAGTGTGACGAGCTGAAAATCGATACTTAATTTTTATTAATTAGAAAATTGAAATGTTTAAAAATTTCTGTTAATTATTAATCTCTTCCTTGCTTCAGTTCCGCAAAGTCACCGTACCCGGAAGAGGCAAAGACGAGAAGCGTGATGGAGAAACATGAACAACGAACAATCATTATCTGCCAAGTCAGGATACAAGGGATGCACGAGCTCTGCAATATGGGCGAAATCAAACGACACCGACGTCCTGATTAATTGGCTAGATTCAAGTGCAATATTTATGCGTGATTTGAGGTGGAAGTTTGGCATGATATAAGGTGTCTAGACGAGTTGGCTAGCGTCCACACGACGATGCGATGTACCATGTGTTTTATGTGTGGTACGAAATACACGAGCGGTAAACTGCCCGTCGTTAATAACAATAAACATTGTGAATGTCATTAGAATAGCAGGATATTTTAATGGGGGATCCGATCCCATCAATGCACTAATGATCCCAGTAATGCCATCATTATATAACGAATTATTTAATTCACGAGACAATTGAAATGACTGTTACAAATTTGTGAAAAAGCACTATGGCCATTCGCTACATTCTAATATTAAGAAACGGATGTTTAATTGGATATTAAAAATCGCAGTTCAATTATGCTTAACGTAGAACGCAGCTGCTATATTAGATTAACTAGCTGAAGGTGGAAATTCTGAACGAGATTAATGTCCCAGATGTCATAACTGTGATCATGGCACTTGAAATTAATTTTATGGAAGCTGACTGAACAAAATTTCGGCCTATCATCAATTAATTGAGTAGCTTAAGACAGAAGCAAACATGGGAAAAATTACGAATTGAATATATATAAGAAGCGAGGTAGTTCGAGACGAGCGACCGAATCCAATTACAAACGAGACGTAGAGTGGCAGCGGAAGGGTACATCACTGCTACAGCTCATGCTACACTGTACTCTAACATGACATCAATGTACTGTGACATGACATCAATGTACTGAAGCATGGCATCAATGTACTGTAACATGACATCAATGTACTGTAACATGACATCNAATGTACTGAAGCATGACATCAATGTACTGAAGCATGACATCAATGTACTGAAGCATGACATTAATGTACTGAAGCACGTTATGTTACACGATGAAATTAATCGTGAAACGATCTATGAAACGATCGATCAAAATTTCTATAATAAATCATACTATAGATCATTAGCTATAAAATACAATCGATCACGATCTGTGAAATGAATCGCACGATCGAGAACGATCTATTCAACAAATCTTTAGATCTCTGATATACGATCAAGATTTAACATTTTACAACGGAAAAAAATCGACGCAGGCAGATGACCTTGGCGATCAAGAATTCACTGCTTGATCGGAGTCGCCCAACAAAGATCGCTCGATTGCGAACTCATAAGTAAACTTGACGTTACTAGTAAACTAGTGACAAAAAACTCTCATTACTAGTAATTATTATTAGTAAATAGCACTAGTAATTATTACTAGTAAATAGTACTAGTAATTAAATTCTTTTCACTATTAAACTAGACAAAAGAGTTAGAAGCAAGGAAATTAAATATGTATCACTTCTTGGTTGATGATGTGAGGGGATGAGGAGGGTAGTAACGTTTCATGATGAGCAACGCAGTGCACTAGCAATAAGTGATGCTAGTGCACTAAGGACAGGAGGACTAAGGCCCCTAAGATTTATGATCATGTATAAGTTAATAATTACCGATTGTACAATTATTTATTTAAATTTATATTCAGACTTTATTATACTGAATTCTTACATATTTCATTGTAAAAAAATTACGAATAAATATCAATTTGTATAGGGGGTTCAAGAAAACTTCAGGGAGGCTGAAGCCACCTAACATAGGCCTAACGACGCCACTGCAGTACATCATTTATGTTATCAGTACATCATTAATGTTATCACCGAAGATACTTGCAAGCTAGGTCACGGCAAGCAGCCGTGCAAACACCTGCTTTGCGCTCGGAATAGCATTTACCAAATATACATAGTAATTGTTAACACAGACAATGGCTTTCATCTTCTCATTATCTCATCATGTTTATCGTTCCCTACTTTATGATTGCTAATCGATCTGCAGAAGACCACATTATTCTAGCATGATTTTCACCGATATACTTGAATGTGTTATTGTTGATTTCATGAGTGAAAGTGACGTTTTTTTGTTCATGCCTCTACACGGCGACACGATGTACCAAGTGTTTAATTAGCACGAAACAATGTGTCTTTATTGCTACACTGAACTGATTATGGGAACGATTCAGTTGGGGAAATGCTCTTGGGAAGAACCTAGCTCGTGTGCGTGCAGAGCCCTTGGGCAGCTGAGCAAAAACGTGGAACACATACGAGATTTTTTGGTGCAATCGCCATTATAATTGCACAAGCTGAGACCGAAAAATGTAGTTATTTATTTAATTTTCCGGATAAATAGAACCAAGTGAGTTTTCTGTCACAGGGTGCCACACTCAAGCAAGAATTTCAATAATCCAGAAAAAAAATATTGTAGACTAAAAAAGAACAAATATTCAGTACTTTACGTTTATATTGGTTTGCTCTCTGTGCTCTATGTCGAATAATAGCGTCGAGTATCGATGGAGTAGCCATGAAGTTAGTCACCAAAAATGTCATTAACCTATCAATCGAAGGCGTCAGATAAATCGCTACTGCACACCTCGAGTGGGCCGATGGTTTGATCTTTGCAACTTCAAGTTTCACAAATTGACTCGATGATTCACAATAAATTGATACTGGAGTGGACCGGTAGTTGGCGAAATTAATGCTAGGCTTGGGCAATTGCGGCAATTTTTTATTTTCATGTCGTATAGTAAAGAAGTGGGAATGTGAAGTATAGCTCCGTGAGCTGCGGATGCCGTAGCTAAACCGTGTGAATCACAGCGACTAAAAACCTCGGTACCATCCACGACTAACCCTGTCATCGTATTTAGCAAAAGGATTGTGTCCAAAGTGCCACGATAAATGCAAATTAGAGTTTCACGACAGCCATCGCTGTGTCAAACCAGTATTCTACATCGAATATACGACGTCTCTGCTCGTACGAGTATCTGGGAGCTCAGTATCACAAAATGTACGACGTCTCAACTCTTATAAGTATCTGCATGGGAGCTCAGTGTCACAAAATGTGCGACGTCTCAACTCATATGAGTATCTGGGAACTCAGTGTCACAAAATGTACGACGTCTCAACTCTTATAAGTATCTGCATGGGAGCTCAGTGTCACAAAATGTACGACGTCTAAACTCAGTGTCTCAAAGTTCTCGAGATGATCGTAAGTTCTGAGGTGATCGCAACTCTGCCATGCATGGCGACTGCAACTCAGCAATTACCCCAGGACAGCAGACTAGACTTTCTAAAACAGAAAGTGCTAATGTGGAAGATTGATGGCTTCTCCATCAATGCAATGTGGATCAAGCTTGCAGGAATTGATTTCGGCCAACGGCCGCCAACCCAATAATTTGGTGCGAGGACAATACAGATCAGCAATACTAAAGCACGAAGCAATACTAAAGCATGAAGCAATACTAAAGCAAGAAGCAATACTAAAGCACGCAGCAATGCCAATTATGAATGACTATGCGGAATGCAATCACACAGAACGTATAAATCAGATGAAGCAGATGACAGACAGTGAGAGTTGTGAACAAAAGAAATTTGAAAGATAGTGCAAACGCGTTCCTTTAGAAATATTTTTATAATACTTCTAAGCTCGATTGTAATATTACTAGAACAATAGGACTTGAATAAGCTACAACTTGAGGACAAATTTCCAAACACCTCCACATCTCCGAACTAAGCAGCAAATTCCTCCAACATAAATTTTGCATGTCATCAGGAGCATTGCATGGAGAGTTAATAAATTTTGAATTTCTAGGAGCATTACCACAATTCCACAATGTAATCATTGGCGATTACAACAACAAAAAAAGTACTTGGAAATACAACGTGGATTTGTTCTAGTGTTGGTAACCAAATAACCTCTTGAGCAGCACTTCAACAACTTTGAATAGAAAACAAACCACCGCATGCCTTACGGCTCAAGACACAGACCGACAGACGCTTAGTCATATGAATAAAACTCACAAAAAGATTAACTACAAACTCAAACAAAGTTTTAAGCAGCGCACAAACGCTGGCGATCGCGTGCCCCAATAAATATTTAAGCTGAGGCACGAGCAACATGCAAGCACGAGAAGTTAGTTGCAGCGGCACGCAGAAGCCTGCCAAGTTGCTGCCGCTAGCAAGCAATCAGTATGTGCTACAAGCACTCTGCTTCACACGCAAGCACTTGAACGGTATCGATAATGTCCAAGGCTGCACGATGTAATCAGTCAGCAAGAACTCTGTACTGTAAATTGAGAATACTACATAAAAATACAGTTGACCATGACAGCGAAAGAAAGACCGCAAGCGGCAGGAATTCACGGGTTAATTTTTTACCGGTAATTATTATTCAAGTCAACGTCAAGGCTGACCTACTCCCGCCTAAATCTGTAATACAAATACGAACCTTGCTTTTGGAGAATCAGGAGTGTGAGGTGGTGACAGTAGTTCCATGTTGTATTATTTAATATTCGTTTAAACACGCTGAATAACTTGAGTGATGTAAGAGATACGGAAGTTTCAGTTGTGTGATAGCTGGACGACTAGCGCATCGACATCCACACCACTTCGCAACTCGACTGCGACTGACAGGGCAAGGGCCGGTCCATCCTAGGCCGCACCAGCGGACGGGTAAAATGCTTTAAAAACTCCCGCTCGTTCAGGGGCAGCACTCGTTACTAACTATTGACTCGCCTTAAAGTACGAATACTTACGCAATTTACTATACAAATTTACTATTTTACTTTACGCTGCCGTCTTTCACGCCACCGCGAAAAACGGTTAATAAAATAAAGTTGAACAATATCAAGAAGATCAATAATTTTTTTTTTATCTTATACGGCTTGGTATATTCAAAACCAATTAACATGACATCAAAAACAATTGGCAAAAACAAGCAAATGACGATACAACAAAACACAAAACAAATGGGGGTAGAGCCATTCATATCTTAACCTCCCCAATTTTGATATATAAAACCTTCTACCCAATTTTACACTCAATGCAAGACATGAAATTTAGACAGGGTTCAGAATTCGCAATATTTCAGCTGTATCTCTTGTAATAGTTGTTGAATGATATACTATGGACAATGCGCTACACTTAGAAGTAAATTTTAAATTAGACGAGTACAAACAAAAAAGTTTCGACATCAACCGAAAAAAATTAGTATTGAGAATGAATTTTCAATTAAAAATGAAAATTTATGATCAAAACGTACCACAAAAAAAAACATATCGAGACTGAGCGTTAATCAAAAACTCGTGACGGAAACCGATAATTAATGTAAATTCAGTGTCTGAAAATTGAAGTTAGCCTGAAAAAAATTGAAGTTAGTCTGAAAATTTCAGTGTCTGAAAATTCTACCCAAATTGAAGCTACCCATCAAGCAAAGGTCGAAAAATCGAAATTAGGCACTTAACGAAAGTTTAATAACCGAATTATGACATCCTGCGATGGTTAAATGATTGAGAATAGACACATGTGAAGTTGAATGCTTGAAGTTGAACATTTTAATTAAGGAAAATAAATAAACGAATTTGGACTTCTAACGAAAGTTTGATAGTTAAGTTCGAAAGCTAGCGAACTTTGAGAAGTTGAAGTTAGGTATCCATCGAAAGGTGAAAAATGAAATTAAACATCCAGCCAAAAATTAGTTGAATTTTGGCATCTAGTGAAAATTGAATCTTTGAATATAAATATAGCTGGCGAAAATTGAAGAGTTGAGTTTTGGAACCAAACAAAAATCTAGAAGTTGAAGCAAGACATCTAGCGAAAGTTAGAAGAGTTGTTGTTGGGCATATGTACATATATCCACAGTTTAATAGTTGACAGAAAACAACAAGTGTAAGTTCACTTATTTAGAAATCAATAAAAAATTTAGATGTTGAACTTGAGGCGAAAATTTAAAAGTTCAAGTTTTACATTTAGGAAGTTTTAAAGAATGTATTAAATCTCTCTAAAACAAATAAAATAAAAATTGTTAATCATTATGAAACGAAACATGAGTATTGAGTGTCCAAATTTAGCTTAAATGAAAATAAAGATTTCTATTTTATCATGGACTTTAAATCTATGTTCATGAATGTAAATCGAAGTTCAAAATTTAGCGTAGAGTCAATTTTAAATTAAATTTATGAAATAAAAGTCAATTGTTCGAAAATCATTATTTATTTTAAATTAATTTAAAATAAATTTATGAAATAAAAATCAATTGTTCGAAAATAATTATTTATTTGGAAATGGGGTTCAACATTTACTGGATTTGTAATTAGATGGAATTCAAGATTTAAATAGTAATGAAGATTTACGTCCTGCATTCAGCATATAATGAAAAATTTATTTTAACACGTAACTAAAAATTTAATAGAAGTTCAAAATTAAAAAAAAATGGGAATTAAGAGGTCACCTTTAACGGAGAACACAAATTCATGTTCATCTTTAAATTAACATTTAAGAAAAATTGCGGTTCAGCCATTTGAAAGAAGCAAAAGTCGAGGTTCAATATTTAAAATTAATAAAAAATTGTTTAGAATTCGGAAATTTCTTTATTGTGACTCGGCATTTAACCGAATTTTAAAACTTGAGCTAAATATCTTACGAAAATTGTCATGTATATAGATATTTTAAAAATTGCAATATTTTTAAAACAAATGACGATACAAGAAAACACCAAACAAATTACGACAGGGGGCAATTTTAACATTTTTAAAACAAGAAAATATTTTATGCAAAAGGTTTAGATTCAACATTAAGTTACAATGCATGCGGTATATATTTTTAAAAATATTAGAACTTATATGTAAGATTTGACGCAAAATTCGAAGTGCGGTCCGACATTATATGAATACTGATTAATCCTTTAAAGAAGCGTTCATATGTTATGTATCCGCAACCTAATAAATAATAAAGTTTAGAGCTTGACTATCACCGAGAAATTTGAAATTATCTACGCAAAAACTTCATAATTTTTCTATCACATTTCTTTATAGTAGAGAAACGCGAATTTGTCATTAAGGAAACAACGCGAATTGACGTTAGAAATTTCACTGAAAATTAATTTCAACATTCCACGAAAATTTAAGAGTTTTCGAATAACTGAAAATTTCGATTTTATTTTTAATTTTTCCAATTATTATTATTATAAGAGTTTCCGATTAACTGAAAAATCTTGATTTTAATTTTTCTAATTATTAGTAAAAGTATAGGCGTAATTAATGGCTTACCAAATCGCCTTGACGGCGGACGCCATCCAGCGACGGCAGCTCGGCAGCGCGCGCATGCTGGAGGTCGCAGAGCCGCGGCACGGAACAAGATTCCTGCTCAACGATTACAAAATTACGATTAATTAACATAATTTATCATAATTTATTTATCGTTTATCATTATAATTTAATATAATTTTATAATTATATTATTGTTTATTATTTAATATTATTATTTTTAATGAAAGTTAACTCACCCATAGAATGGGACTCAAGGTGGTAATTAAGATTATTAAAGTGACAATATAATTTATCAATAATAAAGATTATAATAATAAAGATTGTAATACCAATAGAATGGGACTCAAAGTAGTAATAATGATTATTAAAGTGACCATTAGAGATTGTTAAAAATATTATTTATAAATATTTGGTACCAATCACAAAGATCCAAATCAAACTTTCTTGAAATACATACAAGGCTATGCAAAATTGCAGTGTGGAATTTGGAAAAGGTCATCAATGAGCAGGCCTATTTATTATATTGGAATGAAAGTCCTAAACTATCCTTTTTTATTTCAATGGATATATTTGCATCAAGCTAGTGATATAGCAGTAGATATCACAAATCCAGCGCGCGAGATTATGATCAACTATCATCAAGGTCTATTTATTCTATTTCACCCTAAGTTCTGCCTAGTGCGGGGTGAGTGAACCCCTGCCTTACCTGGACGCGAAAGCTCCTACAACCAACTCGTCCGGTGTCCAGACGAGGACTGAAATTTATTGCGGAGCGATCGTCTCTTTTATGGGCACTCAGGATCTGTTGGGTTGTTAGACATGAATGCCAGGGTTATCTCGTTATATCACAATCTGATGAAATCAAGTAACAGGAAAAGAATCATTCGTTAATGGAGTAGAAGGCGATAATTTGTAACATGTTCCACTTACCGTGCAACTAACTAGTCATTGCAAAGCTTCCTCGTGATAAAATTAAGCATGAAATTTTTATTTCTCTTCAATATTGTTTGTAAGTGTAAACGCAAGAAATATACAAACACAGAGTCATTTTAGTATCATGGCACACCTGTGAATCATTGTATCATTAACGACAGCGAATGCCATGAAGATTATCATTACATGCTTCTTGTGGAACTTATCGACTGAAAGTTAATTTCATAGATACATGAGCCGATTCAGAATTGACACATTGATTAAAACCGCCTGCTATTGTTGTCCAAGTAATTACACAATTCAGGGCGTGATAATTTTTCCCGTGGATTATAGGAATCAATGTATTCCTTTGCCCAGTAGTGACCTAACTGTTTTCAACCAATAAATGATTGGTTAATGATTACATGAAAATTTAAACTTAAATACGACCTATCATCGGAGAAATTCAACTGTTCAACGCTGGGTGCATGATTTATGTTAAAATTAGCTTGAAACCATTAAAAATCCTTGTATAAAATTAACTTACGAGAATTCTTTCTTCACTTAGAAGAAATTAGACCGGTTCATTCATATTAACAATTTTCTAAATATTAACAAAATTAATTGACATGATCAGATGATTCGAAAAATGAGTTTAAATTATGGTGGGACGGATGCGTAAAAGATTACTTTTAACCTAAAAAAGATATATAGCATGTCAAGCAACAGAGAAATGACACTTGATAATGATCATTTGACTCCAACTTAAGATTTTTGAATATCGAAACATATTAACTATGAATTCGATGGCTTGGTATGGTCTAGTTTTCTGCAAACCATTGTACAAACCATCGATCTCATGAGTGTTTTTTACCGCATTAACTTGCCGCGGGAAAGAACAATGCATGGCAGCTCAGGCATAAAATTATGAACATCAGATCAGAAAAGAATTGGAAACGTCGGGCTTGCGTGCCGTGTATTCTATCAGTCATGTTCATCTCACACCTCATTTGCGCGCCCTGATTGGATCTGTTGCCAGGCCACCGATGTTGCCACAAGCGCGGGCTGCTCTGCTGTCTCTGGGCAGGTTTCTTCAGTCCAAATTGCTTCCTGGGCGTTCTAATCTTGTCGTGACAAGCCAAGAATGAACCCAGCTATCTCCCCTTCGCTTCTGATTTAATGTCGCTATGAATATTGCAACGAAAATAATTAACAGGAGCAAATTGCAGCAGTGTACCAAAAGGTGACAGTGTGCTCGTCAAGAACGCAAGCTGAATCCTCAAGCCCGAGATTTCGATGACTGACAGAAGCAAATAAATTAATTATCATTGAAATTTCAGAAATTTATGGCCTCCAGATTTAAGAAAGGAATACTCGTTTCTTAATCAAATTGATAAATTCAAATTTAATTATATTTAATGTAATATATTGAATG